TCTGTGGGGTCGTGGGGGGGGCTATGGGTCTCCATAGGGTCTAAGGGTCTCTATGTGGTCTCTATGGGTGTCTATAGGACGTGGGGTGTCTCTGGGGTCTCTGGGTCTCTGTGGGGTCTGGGGTCTCTCTGGGGCCCATGGGGGTGTCGGGGTCCCCACGGGCTCCCTGACCCCCCCCCCAGCGCGCGGATGCGGGGGCAGGGCGAGGGCCGCGCCCCCCCCGCGCCCCCCCCCGAGCCCATCGACAGCTCCGGGGGCCCCGTCCTGGCGCTGCCCTCGGGGGCGGCGCTGTCGGCGCGCGGGCTGGCGCCGGGGCCGGCGCGGGACCTGCTCGAGAAGGCGCTCGTGGTGCACGAGGCCGACCGGTGAGCGCCCACAACACCCCAGAAACGGCTCCGGGGACCCCCAAAACCCCCGGGAACACCCCAAAAAACCCCGGAAACCCCCGGAAACACCCCGAAAAACCCCAGAAACACCCCAGAACACCCAGAAACACCCAGAAGCACCCCAGAAACACGCAGAAACACCCCAGAAACATCTGAACATCACCCAGAAACACCCCAGAAACACCCCAAAAACACCCAGAAACACCCCAAAACCCCCAGAAACACCCCAGAAACACCCCAAAATCACCCAGAAACACCCCCGGGAACCCCCAAAACCCCCTGGAAACACCCTGTCGCCCTCCTCCCCTCCGCCTGTTGCCTTTTGCACCCCTGCCGCCTGTAGCTCCCCGCGTCGCCTGTTTCCCGTAGCCCTGTTGCGCCCCAGCCCCCGCCGCCTGTAGCCCTCCTGCCGCCTGTAGCCCCCCCGACGGGTGTTGCCCGCACAGGCGCAAGAAGCTGCGGTTCCACCCGCGGCAGCTCTACGTGTCGGTGAAGCAGGGCGAGCTGCACAGGGTTGTCCTCATGTTGTGTGAGTGCGGGGGTCTTGGAGGACCCGGGGGGGTCTTGGAGGACCTGGGGGGGGGTCTTGGAGGACCTTGGAGGACTTGGGGGGTCCCTAGAGGGTCTTGGAGGACCCCGGGGGGGAGTGGGGGTCCCTTGGGGGTCCTTGGAGGACCTGGGAGGGTGTCTGGGGGTTCCTTGGAGGACTTGCGGTGTCCTTGGAGGACCTGGGAGGGTTCTAGTGGTCCTTGGAGGACCTGGGAGGTCTGGGGGTCTTTGGAGGACCGGGGGGGTCTCTGGAGGACTCTGGGTGTCCCTGGAGGACTCGCCGCGTCCCCAGGGCCGCGCGGCTGTTGCCGCGGGTGTCCCCGAGCGCCCGTGTCCGCCTGTCGCCCCCAGTGGACAACCTGGACCCCAACGCGCCGAGTGACGCGCAGAGCCGGCGGACGCCGCTGCACGCGGCCGCGCAGAAGGGACACCTGGAGATCTGTCACCTGCTGCTGCAGGTGTCACCGCGTCCCCGCGGAGTCACCCACAGTGTCACTGTGTCCCCATGGGTGTCACTGTGTCCCCGCGGTGTCGCCCACAGTGTCACCGCGTCCCCATGGGTGTCACTGTGTCCCCATGGGTGTCACTGTGTCCCCATGGGTGTCGCCCACAGTGTCACTGTGTCCCCATGGGTGTCACTGTGTCCCCATGGGTGTCGCCCACAGTGTCACCGCGTCCCCGCGGTGTCACCCACAGTGTCACCGTGTCCCCATGGGTGTCGCTGGGTCCCCATGGGTGTCACTGTGTCCCCATGGGTGTCGCCCACAGTGTCACCGCGTCCCCGCGGTGTCACCCACAGTGTCACCGTGTCCCCATGAGTGTCGCTGTGTCCCCATGGGTGTCACTGTGTCCCCATGGGTGTCACTGTGTCCCCATGGGTGTCGCCCACAGTGTCACCGCGTCCCCGCGGTGTCGCCCACAGTGTCGCCGTGTCCCCATGGGTGTCACTGTGTCCCTGCGGTGTCGCCCACAGTGTCACCGTGTCCCCATGGGTGTCACTGTGTCCCCATGGGTGTCACTGTGTCCCCGCAGTGTCCCCTGGGGTGTCCCCGTGTCCCCCACAACGTCCCTCGGGGTGTCCCCGTGTCCTCTCAAATGTCCCAGGTGTCCCCAAGACCCCCGGGTGTCCCCCTGTGTCCCCCTATGTCCCCTGGTGTCCCCGTGACCCCCCCCTGGTGTCCCCAGGTGACCCCGTGACCCCCAGGTGGCCTCAGGTGACCCCGTGACCCCCAGGTGACCCCGGGTGACCCCTCAGTGTCCCCATGACCCCAGGTGACCCCATGACCCCAGGTGACCCTGTGACCCCCAGGTGACCCCGTGACCCCCAGGTGCCCTCAGGTGACCCCGGGTGACCCCTCAGTGTCCCCATGACCCCCAGGTGACCCCATGACCCCCCAGTGTCCCCATGACCCCCAGGTGACCCCATGACCCCCAGGTGACCCTGGCTGACCCATGACCCTCAGGTGACCCTGGCTGACCCATGACCCCCAGGTGACCCCGTGACCCCCAGGTGACCCCCCCGGTGCCCGCAGGCGGGCGCCAACATCAACGCGACCGACAAGCTGCGGCGGACGCCGCTCATGGAGGCTGTAGCCAACAACCACGTGGAGGCCGCGCGGTACATGGTGCGGCGCGGCGGCTGCGTCTACAGCAAGGTGCGCCTGTGGCGTCACCGCGACGGGCCGGGGACGGCGCCGGCGGCCGCCTGACGCGCCGCTGTCGCCGGCTGTAGGAGGAGGACGGCTCCACCTGTCTGCACCACGCGGCCAAGAACGGCAACCTGGAGATGGTCGACCTGTTGCTGGCCACCGGGCAGGTGGACGTCAACGCGCAGGTGACACCCGGCGGCGGCGGGTGACACGGGGGGTGTGGGGTGACATGGGACACCGGGTGACATGGGGGAGGTTGTAGGGTGACATGGAGGGGGTCGTAGGGTGACACCGGGTGACACGGGGTAACGCAGGTGACACGGGGGTGACGAGGGAGGGATGTGGAGGTGACGCCGGGTGACACGGGGTGGGCACCGGGTGACGCCGGGTGACGCCGGGTGACGCAGGACAACGGCGGCTGGACCCCCATCATCTGGGCGGCCGAGCACAAGCACATCGAGGTCATCCGCCGCCTGTTGACGCGCGGCGCCGACGTCACCCTCACCGACAACGTGAGCGCGGGGCGGCAACAGTCGCACGGGGCGGGGGGGGGGCGTTTGGGGGTTTCAAGAACCCCCCATCCCCAAAAAGGGCAGTTTTGAGTGGCCCCACTCAAAAAAGGGACGGTTTCAAGGGACCCCCCCCCCCCATAGGGTCTGTTTCAAGGCCCTCCCCCATTCCCCAAGGGCTCCTGTGGAGTTCCCCACCCACCTCATTGGTGGTTTCAAGCCCCTCCCTCTTCCCCATTGGTGGTTTCGAGCCCCCCCATGCCCCGATTGGCGGTTTCAAGCCCCCCCATGTCCCGATTGGCAGTTTCAAGCCCCCTCCCTTGCCCCAATTGGTACTTTCAAGCCTCCCAGCTCCCCCTGTTGGTGGTTTCAAGCCCCCCCGTGCCCCGATTGTTGGTTTCAAGCCCCGCCCCGTTCCCCGATTGGTGGTTTCGAGCCCTCTCGCTGCCCCGATTGGTGGTTTCGAGCCCTCTCGCTGCCCTGGTGGGTGGTTTCGAGCCCCCTTTCTGCCCCAGTTGTTGGTTTCAAGCCCCCCCATGCCCCGATTGTTGGTTTCAAGCCCCGCCCTGTGCCCCGATTGGTGGTTTCGAGCCCTCTCGCTGCCCTGGTGGGTGGTTTCGAGCCCCC